AAAGAACCTCCGTCTTGGAAAAGTCAATGGCATGTGAGCCTATTGAATTAGAACAATGATCTGCTACGGCCGAGGTGTTGGTCCTACCGTGTTTAAGGTCTGCTTTATGTTCACGAATGCGGTCCGAGATATGGCGTTTGGTTTCTCCAATGTAACTACTACCACAGAGGCAACTTAGTTTGTAGACACCAGGGTATTGTATGTCCGGAATCACATCTTTTACAGATGGAACCAGATCACGGATTTTATGTAATGTGTTGAAACGGACCTGGATCTTGTGTTTATTCAAGATTTTGGAGATCTTTTTTGTGATCCCAGCAATGTAGGGTAAAGTGATGGTTTTGAAAGGCTCCTCAAGAGGGTTCTTCTTCATGGTTTGAGTGATAGCTTTGCGGATTGTATAGTCGGAGTAACCATTAGCCCTAAGAGCTTGGTGTACGTGCTTGAGTTCACTGCTTATGTGTTCCTGGTCGGATATGCATTGGGCTCTATGATACAGAGTCTTGATGAGAGAATTCTTCTGTGATGGATGGTGGTGGGAATCCGGTTTCAGATAAGCATCCGTATGGGTAGCTTTCCTGTAGACAGAGTGGCTCATTGAACCATCAGGTCTCTTTTTAATTAGGACATCCAAAAAAAGGTATCTTGCCATCTATTTCGACTTCCATGGTAAATCTGATGGCTGGGTGTATGGAATTGATGTGGTCGAAGAATTTGTCTAGAGCAGGCCGGCCATGTGGCCAGATGACAAAAGTGTCATCCACGTACCTCTTCCATAAGGTTGGGCGCAGAGTGGCAGTCTGGATGGCGTCAGTCTCAAATTTCTCCATGAAAATGTTAGCTATAACTGGAGAAAGGGGGGAGCCCATTGGGGTGCCCTCAGTTTGTTTGTAGAAAGTTCCATTCCAAGTGAAGTATGTATTGGTTAAACAGTGTCTCACCAGGGGGGGTACCTCAGTGTTTAGTCCTTGATGAACCAAGTCTTCAATGATTGCAATGGTGTCAGGTACAGGAACCTTGGTGAATAAGGAAACTACATCAAAACTGACAAGCAGGTCGTCTGGGGACAGGGAAATACCCTTGATTGTTGATACCAGGTGAGTAGAATTTTGTACCGCAGAGGTGGTCTTTCCAGTGAAAGGACGCAGGATTTCAGACAAAAAACGAGCTAGTTTGTAGGTGGGGGAGCTGATAGTAGAGACTATGGGACGAAGAGGTGTATCAACTTTATGTATTTTTGGTAAGCCGTATAATCTTGGTGGCCTGGCAGCAGAAGGTTTCAACGAAAACTGTTTAGATTGATCAATTAATGCGGTTGAATCAGAAATTATTTTGTTGGTTTGTGTGACGAGGCTGTTGGTGGGATCTCTTTTTATTTTTGTATAACTACCATCGTCGAGTAATTCTTTAATTTTGTTGTTGTATTCTATTTTATCCATGATAACAGTAGCATTGCCTTTGTCAGCTGAGAGAACTACAATATCATTCCTCTTTTTTAATTTATATAATTCAAAACGCTCATCTTTGCTGAGGTTGCTAGCTGGCATCTTAGCGTTTTTGAGGGTTGCAGCGATTTCAGATCTTGCTACGTCTGCAGCGATGTGACCCAGGCCCCTGAGAGCAACGTCTACTTGGGCAATTATATCATTAACTGGTATGTGTTTAGGTGTGACTGCAAAGTTTAGACCTTTAGCTAAAACGGATTTCAGACCATCGGAAATAGAACTGTTACTGCGATTAATTACGACTTTATTAACGTCTAACTTTTTGGTGTGTGGGTCCGGTCTTTTGTTTAAGAGGAGGTTAAATTTGGAAATCAGGTTTTCCTTACATTTGGTCGACATAGTAGCAGCTGAAGAGGCAGTCATATTGTCTACATGTTCCCAATCCGATGTGGACATTATTGCCGTCAATGATAAGTGTGATTTGTAGAGTGTCTTGTCTAACTGATCTAGTTCTGTGCGTATAAGTCTGATTTTTTCTGAGATAAGAGCTAAGCTAGTTTTGAAAAGAATTCGTTTCGCATTTGAAGAAGTTACAGTAGCAGAGGTGAGTGTAAATGCGATTGGTATTACCCCAGAGTCGCGGCATCTCTTCAGGAAGGTGAGAGACTCGATCAGCTGAGCTTTCTTATCCCGGAGTTTGTTGAAAGATCTTAAAGTTATGTGAAAACCCTCCCCGTAGAGGCGATTAAATTTTGATTTAAAGCTTTCGTGACTGCAGTAATTCATATTCTTAGTTTTTTCGGTAAAGTCACGTTGAAGAGAAACAACAAAATAACAAAATATATATAAAACAATAAAAAATTCTCACGACGTTTCGACCATAACTCAAACGGTCATCATCAGGTGTGTCGGTTTGCATAAATTTATTTTGAAAACGGCATATTTATTTATATATATAAAAATAACGTTTGCGTCACGCGCAACGATGGCAGTTTGCCAGGACTAGTCCATCTATTTTTTGAAAAGAGGAGGGGGGAGACGAAATTTGTTTTTATGTATGCTGTCTGAAAGGCACTGTAAGCGTGAACAATCAATCAAGAACTGAAATGATTTATCAAATCTTTCCAATGATTGCTAAGATAGAATCCATCTTCTCGGTTGAAATTGTCTCTGTGTTTGTATATGTGGATAGCCTCATGAACGAATCTCTCATGGAAGCCAGATGGCTTACAAAGAACCTCCGTCTTGGAAAAGTCAATGGCATGTGAGCCTACTGAATTAGAACAATGATCTGCTACGGCCGAGGTGTTGGTCCTACCGTGTTTAAGGTCTGCTTTATGTTCACGAATGCGGTCCGAGATATGGCGTTTGGTTTCTCCAATGTAACTACTACCACAGAGGCAACTTAGTTTGTAGACACCAGGGTATTGTATGTCCGGAATCACATCTTTTACAGACGGAACCAGATCACGGATTTTATGTAATGTGTTGAAACGGACCTGGATCTTGTGTTTATTCAAGATTTTGGAGATCTTTTTTGTGATCCCAGCAATGTAGGGTAAAGTGATGGTTTTGAAAGGCTCCTCAAGAGGGTTCTTCTTCATGGTTTGAGTGATAGCTTTGCGGATTGTATAGTCGGAGTAACCATTAGCCCTAAGAGCTTGGTGTACGTGCTTGAGTTCACTGCTTATGTGTTCCTGGTCGGATATGCATTGGGGTCTATGATACAGAGTCTTGATGAGAGAATTCTTCTGTGATGGATGGTGGTGGGAATCCGGTTTCAGATAAGCATCCGTATGGGTAGCTTTCCTGTAGACAGAGTGGCTCATTGAACCATCAGGTCTCTTTTTAATTAGGACATCCAAAAAAGGTATCTTGCCATCTATTTCGACTTCCATGGTAAATCTGATGGCTGGGTGTATGGAATTGATGTGGTCGAAGAATTTGTCTAGAGCAGGCCGGCCATGTGGCCAGATGACAAAAGTGTCATCCACGTACCTCTTCCATAAGGTTGGGCGCAGAGTGGCAGTCTGGATGGCGTCAGTCTCAAATTTCTCCATGAAAATGTTAGCTATAACTGGAGAAAGGGGGGAGCCCATTGGGGTGCCCTCAGTTTGTTTGTAGAAAGTTCCATTCCAAGTGAAGTATGTATTGGTTAAACAGTGTCTCACCAGGGGGGGTACCTCAGTGTTTAGTCCTTGATGAACCAAGTCTTCAATGATTGCAATGGTGTCAGGTACAGGAACCTTGGTGAATAAGGAAACTACATCAAAACTGACAAGCAGGTCGTCTGGGGACAGGGAAATCCCCTTGATTGTTGATACCAGGTGAGTAGAATTTTGTACCGCAGAGGTGGTCTTTCCAGTGAAAGGACGCAGGATTTCAGACAAAAAACGAGCTAGTTTGTAGGTGGGGGAGCTGATAGTAGAGACTATGGGACGAAGAGGTGTATCAACTTTATGTATTTTTGGTAAGCCGTATAATCTTGGTGGCCTGGCAGCAGAAGGTTTCAACGAAAACTGTTTAGATTGATCAATTAATGCGGTTGAATCAGAAATTATTTTGTTGGTTTGTGTGACGAGGCTGTTGGTGGGATCTCTTTTTATTTTTGTATAACTACCATCGTCGAGTAATTCTTTAATTTTGTTGTTGTATTCTATTTTATCCATGATAACAGTAGCATTGCCTTTGTCAGCTGAGAGAACTACAATATCATTCCTCTTTTTTAATTTATATAATTCAAAACGCTCATCTTTGCTGACACTTCTAAACTACGAGAGAAAGAATGTATTTTATTTAGAGTTGATTCAAATATAAAACTTGAAAGCAAGTTGTGGCGCTGACTTTAGTTGTTGTCTGCAAATGCAAAGAGATGTGATTTAAGTTGTAACTGTGAATGTAGTGATGGAGTCAATTGTCCGTGCCATAGCTACTGAGCTCATAATAAAGGGTATTGGGTTGGATTGCGTAAATATAAACGTGCCGTTAATCCCGCCACCACCCGACACAGCGAGAGACATCGTAGTCGAATTGTAAATGTTGTGAGTTTACTCTCCAACACACCGGGTGTGCTGAAGCAGTAACTAATTGGTACGTTTTGTTTACTGTGACAAACCTTACTAATCGGCTTTGTCGGATGGTGGCAGCTTTGACGACACAGTCGATACTTACGCGATCTAACCCAAAACAATAATAACCTCGATTATGGATAACATTGATCGCGAAAGCCTACGACGACTAACCACGTTTTAAAGCTTTCGTGACTGCAATGATTCATCTTCTTTGGTTCTTTCGGTAAAGTCACGTAGAATGAGAATAAAATAATAAATTGATAAAATAAAATAACACAATAATATTCTCACGACGTTTGAAGGCCGCTTGTGTTGTGGCCAAAAACGTCGTGAGAATTTTATTGTGTTATTTTATTTGATCAATGTATTATTATTTTATTCTCATTCTACGTGACTTTACCGAAAGAACCAAAGAAGACTAACCACGCGTTGCACCGAGCTCATGGACGAACGGTGATGCTGATGCTGCTGCTGAATCGCTCACCGTGTCCAGCCGCGTGCTCGCGTTGTGAATCTTGCTCTGCAGGTGGCGCTGCTTCACTGGAGCCGCTCGCTTGCGCTCAAGATTTTTCTCCATGGCCCTGATCTGAATTGGGCGAGGTGGTGGTCACGCGCAGAGGAACAACAACGTCGCGCTGCGTGCGCTACGCCGTGGGAACCCCCCGGTGTCATCATCATCGCAGCAGCAGCAGCTCCTGGCTGAGCCATCGAACAAAGGCGGCGGTCACCGCATCGCACGGCGCTTTCAGATGCGCTTCTGCGGCCGTCTGGAACGCTCTTCCTTCCGATGTTATGGGAAGCCACTGGAGCTTTGCGCTTTTTTAAATCATCCAGATTGACAAACTAATTTCTTTACAGCTGCTTCTTGTGTTTAGTTTGGTGTCCTTCACCCGCCACCTCCGATTAGCACGTTCGGCGACGTACGGTGCGAAATAAGTTCAACATACACACATTCATACACACATACATACAAAGACAAAGATCCCCCATATAGCCTTAACAGACTTTAGGGGCAAGTGCTGTTATCGAGCACCTATGAAGGCCGGAACGGTACACGAGGGGGTGGGTGGCCAGCACCACGCCCGACCGCCTTTGTCTCCCTAGCGGCAATGTTTACACACCGCACCAGGTACTAATTTGAGGCTGAGTCGACCTAGGGGAGGCCCGGGACCGGTTCAGATAATCGTCACTGGTGTTGGCCGTGAGCGGGAATCGAACCCGGGTCGCCAGGTTCATAGCACACATACATACACACATACATACACACACATACATACATTCCTACACACATACATACACACATAATACATACATACACAGATTCATACACACATATATCCACACATATATATACACACACACATTCCATTTGTGGTAACCCCCCAAAACTCCTGCACCCGGCCGAATCACCTGCAAATCGCCCAATTCTCATCAGATGACGGAAGCCAGGCAGGTCTGAGCCTGGATAGGACTTGTGTAGGCTACCGCCATGGACAACGCGGGTGCTGTATGCTGCTGCGAGAGCAGAGGGCAGTGCAATACAACGCCTTGTTGAACCGCACGTATCATGCGCTCCCATACCGATGCTCCCTTGGGGGTTATTTGTACCAAGGCCGTAATTATACTATATATTGGGGGGGGACATATTCCCCTCCAATGCTATAAAAAATTATTGCTATGCTATGTAAATAAAAACAACAATTTGATAAACCTTGGCCACAATATCTGGACTTGTCTTCATATAAATCAATGCATAGATTTCTGTTTATATGATTGTGGTTATGGTTGTTCTTTATTAATCCATAAGCTCTGCCATTAAATACAATGAAACAAGAAATGGTAAAAAAAGTCAAAACAGAGCAATGTAATACAATACCCTATTAGACATTATTGTAAAAAAATAAGTAAAAAGTCCATCCCATGTGTTAGTGATTTTTTAAAATATTTTAGGCAGGAAATGAGTTTTAAAATTTAGATATTTTTCTGGGTTGGGACCCCCAGACACCCTGGAAGATTTTGTCCCCCACCCCCCAATGTTGACTCCATGGCTACGGCCTTGATTTGTACCGTCGAGCAACCCTCGCGACCTGCACGGCGTCGTGAGCGAGGCCTTTATCCGGCGGTGGATTGACAACAGGGCTGGGGCTGTATATGTCTGCACTGCCACGCCGAAATAAACCCAGCTTGCAAATTACACACAGTGGATAACACAATCCAAACAGTGGATTACACAGTCCAAACAAGCTGGTAATACGAACCCAGTAATGGAGCCTCTATTTTTTTTAGGTTGCAACAAAGAGGCGCGCTCAGAAAAAACATGCGAACGCATACCCACAAGTGCACATTTAGGCATTTGTGCACTTACACCCAAGCCCTTGTGTAGTATATCATCCCACTGCCTCACGGCACATAGTTTATTTTATTATTTATTTCTTTTTATACTTTTTGAAAGTATTTCAAAGTCAATCTTTCCCCTAAATGGTAGAGATATGGGTACTGATATTTGTAACCTGTGTTGGTAAGTTACGTAGCGATTGGTTTAATGGCTTTGCAATTTTCATATATAAAACGTGGGCAAGTGTCCTCGGACGAATGAACAAATGGATGGACAGACACACAGCCTACATCATTGACATGCTGCATTCATATGTCTCCTCAAGGTCCCGAAGATCTGGGGATGCAGATCTTCTCTCCGTATTCCCAGGTCGAGGTTTCGGTCTATGGGTGACCGAGATTTTTCCAGTGTAGCTCCCAGGCTATGGAACGCTCTTATTCCACGAGCTATCGGAACGATCGCCAAGTCTGTGGACATTTTTTAAATGCGCCTTAAAACCTATTTACGCGCTTCCGCTCATTAAACTTTTAGTTCATTTAGTTTAAAAAAATGTTTAACATGTATTTATTATATTCTTGTTATGCTGAGTGTCTGCTGCTGCTGCTGTGTCCTGTACAGTGTTTTGAGATCCTTGATGAAAAGCCGTTGTACAAATTTAATTACGATGTATTCTTGGTTCTTTCGGTAAAGTCAAGTAGAAGGGAAACAATAAAATAATAAAAATATGAAACAATAAAATTCTCACGACGTTTCGACTGCAACACAAGCAATCATCATCAGGTGTGAAAACCACAGCCACTTTTTTCAAATTTTCTTGCTGTGGTTATCACACCTGATGATGATTGCTTGTGTTGCAGTCGAAACGTCGTGATAATTTTATTGTTTTATATCTGTATTGTTTTAATGTTTCCCTTCTACTTGACTTTACCGAAAGAACCAAGAATATTAATCCTTGCAGTCACGAAAGCTTCAAATCAAAAGTTAAATTACGATGATCATTACTTCCCAGAAATATCGATCTGTAGCCTGCCGCCTCTCCCTCGCAGTTTTCACCACGTGCAAATATGTGCAGCATTGCACGTGCAAAACCGCTCCCGAACATTAGCTCCAAAGAACTGAATGTGTGGCCATTTTGTCGTTGAGACCAGCGCACGTAGGTAACCAAAAAAATGGCCACACATTCAGTTCTTTCGAGTTGGTGGTCTGGACAAGGCCGAAGGCCGAAAGCTTTTGTACAGGAGACCTGCATATATGTGTTTTGTTAAACCTATTTGTTGTCTGGCCTGCACAAACGCTTCTGTTGTGAAGGGTTTTCAAATTATAATTTAAAAACTTGAAACTCTCCTCTCTTTTAACAGCAATGCCAAAACAGTTCAAGGGTTCAATGACAACTCTAATTTTGCAAGGGTCAGCAATGATTAACGAGCAATCCAAGTTTTGTTGGGGGGACGGGGGGGGGGCATTGGCATGGTGATGGAAGTATTTCTCTGTGTCAATACCAGCGTAGGGAGCAAATTGACACAAGTTTAGCATTAACTTGTGGCTTCTCTGCGTGGGTCGACGCTTCTCTGGAAATGAGAAAAGCAGGGCTGCCAACAGGGCCCCCCCCCCCCCCCGCAGAGGCTTACGGCGCTCGCGAGCAACGATGCGTGACCACACGGGCCGTTTGGAAACCAGCTGAACGCACAAACACAGCAAAAACAAGGGATGAGGATTTGTATTTATGGGATGCTTAAATCCTTCAGCATCCCAAAGTACCTCTCACAACAGCTTGGTTCGAATGAATGACGTCCGTTTCGCCGAGACTACGGTATTCGTTGGAGCTGTATTTGAGGTTAGGTGAAAAGACGAAAGAAACACAAGAGAGCCAGGATCACGAAAGGCAAAAGGAGTAATGGCAGGGTCCAATAGCATTTGTAGAAGCAAGCGAATCAGCTACAACATCAAACTGAACATCTTCAATTTTGATTTAAAGCTTTCGTGACTGCAGGGATTCATATTCTTGGTTCTTTTGGTAAAGTCACGTAGAAGGGAAACACTACAATAATAAAACAATAAAATTCTCACGACTTCACCGAAAGAACCAAGAATATGAACATCTTCAGTACAGCTTTGCACACCTGCGAGACTTGGACATTAAAAAAGACTGACAGAGATAAGATGTCGGCACTAGAAATGTATTGCTACAGAAGGATACTGCATCTAAGCTGTACCCAAAGAGAGACCAAATAAGAAGAAGGCTGCACATAGAAGAAGACCTGATGATGCAGGCAGCGATGAGAAGGAAACCGGCACTATTTGTAGGATGGACAACAGCAGGATAATTAACAGTATGCTCCTCGGAAAAATGGAAGGAACCGGAAAAAGAGGAAGACCTCACAGAGAATGGCTTGATGACGATATAAGAGATCTGTGCCAGAAAGATGTGGCCACTATTTGGGCCTATTGGCACAAGACAGAGAGGACAGTGGAAACAAATTATGAAGTGTCCAGTGGACACCCTTTGGGCTATCAGCCCATGGATCGTGAGAATGACGATGATGATGATGATCAGGTTGGCCACCGTGAGACCGTGAGAAGGCTACCGGAAGTATAGCAGAGCCACACAGCGCCCTATTGAAGCCACCTCGTGGCCAGTAGACCTCTGCATTGTCATATAGCTCCTGAACATATTTGCCAAACGCATGAATAATAACCTTCATCCCATGGCCACCTTGCCATTCCGTTGTCCTGCAGCAGCCTAGCCTAGGGGATGTTAATGGCGACCGTCCCGACGTGGCACACAAAGGCGTGGGCAGCACCGGTCCGCAAATGGGCGTCGTACACCCTGTAGGGGTCGATGTTGCAATGGGGCGTTTACATCTCACACGACATCTCACACTACATCTCACGCGACATCTCACGTCACATCTCACGCGACATCTACATCTCACATGACATCTACATCTCACATGACATCTACATCTCACGCTACATCTACATGACATCTACATCTCACGCTACATCTACATCTCACGCTACATCTACATCTCACGCTACATCTACATCTCACATGACATCTACATCTCACATGACATCTACATCTCACGCTACATCTACATGACATCTACATCTCACACTACATCTCACGCTACATCTACATCTCACATGACATCTATATCTCACGCTACATCTACATGACATCTACATCTCACGCTACATCTACATCTCACATGACATCTACATCTCACACTACATCGACATCTCACACGACATCTCACGCTACACTCAGCATTAGAGCAATAAGAAGTTTATTTCCCGACGAAAGCCCATCCAGCTAGGAAGCTCTTCTTCAAGGGTGACTCATCCCCTCGAGCATGAAAGTGCACGGCCACACGTACTTGTCTGCGGGTGGCTTCTCATCTAAACATGCTCTCTTAAGCGAAGCAGACAGCACCAACACCGGTAACTAAACATTCATTAACGGAGTCGGCCAAATATCTCGGTGTAGGATCCTAGAGCTTGGGAAATTGTTGGCACCAGCTCCGGCTTGTCTGCAATTTCTGATGCCTTAGAATCGTTCCCCCTCTCCCAGAGAGTGAACAAAAAGGCATGACAAATGATAAATCATTATTGTGATTAATAACTGTTCATTTAATCCACAAACTGAATCAGACAGCCTCTGACCTGGTCGTCCAGCATTTGTTGTCTTTGCAATTCCTGCTCAATCTGCTCATCGAGATGTCCGTTTCTTGCCAGCAGTGAGGCCACTCTTCCTGCGCTGTACCTCTGTCCTCGATGGCTGGCGGCCACTGCCAGCTTCTGGAGAGTGGTCTTTCTCTCTTCCTCCAGACGAGACAGCTCCTGCCTAACAATTGAAAAGACAACAACATTCATCATCCGTTCTGCGCAGCCTCACCAGGGGACTCAAGGGGAAAGAGCCATCCCCCTCTGAGCGGAGGTGAACGGGTAGCTCATGGGACACAGAAACTGAGCCGGCACCGCTTAGATTCTGGTTTGAATCCGGGTATCAGCCGACCCAAGAGTGGCGAGTTACATGCATGCATGATTGAACCTATTTCGCACAGCGCATAGCCAACCGTGCTAATCGGAGGTGCGGAGGAAGGACAAGAAAAATAAAATTGATGGCCTCAGCCAATCACAAATGAATTTACAAAAAAAACAACTATCTTCTGGGTTCTTTCGGCTAAAGTCACGTAGAATGGAGATAAAATAATAAGAATAATAATAACAGAATCAAATTCTCACGACGTTTCGGCCACAACACAAGTAGCCTTCCTCAGGTGAAGAAACAGGACTGTCCGGAAGACAGCGCTTGAGTGAACCCTGCCAAGCATGGCAGCGTCTTTTAAGCTGTGTGGGAGGAACAGAGCGCCTTGACAATGGAGTTAACATATACATTAGCATGTAACTGGGGGATTAGCATGATGTTGGTGTGAGGGATGAGCACCACGGAGAGCGACGAGCTCGGACCCGAGGAGTGGGGAGAGGATTCGTGAGAATTTTATTATGTTATTATTATTTTTATTATTTTATCTCCATTCTACGTGACTTTACCGAAAGAACCCAGAAGATGAATCCCTGCAGTCACGAAAGCTTTAAATCGAAACCCAACTATATTAAGTTAGTTTATAATTTACGTTTATTACTTCCAGCCACAACAATTTCACTCTGATGACATACGATGAATACCGTGCAGCACATACGGAAGGTTGCGCCTGCAATATGGATAGAGAGGTCTACTGAACTTCCACCATTTGTTGTTGCACGGTATCATCTTCCAGCGCCCTTCTCCGACGCAGAGTGATGCACTGCTAGTTGCCAGCGTACTGAATGGATATGTGATTTGCCTGTGACAAAATGCCGATGGCACAATTGGAAAATAATTATGGGGGGGAGTGGGGAAGAAGAAAACAATCTTATCACGTGATAATGGAATCAACTTCACTGTTGCACAACTGTCCGTGTCTTTTCAGTGCTGGTGAATAAACGCCATGCCATGTAATGTATTTTCGTTCTCAAGTTAGCCTAGTTAAGTAAACACAACCTTTTCAATTAACATTCGCAGCCACGAGTCAATGTAGGTTTTTGATACTATTGTAGCGGTGTCAAGACCACTATGCTCGCACTCCAGTTATCAACACACAACGCGCGTAACACACTCTCACACACATAACACGTAACATGCCCGCACATGCACGCATCAGTAGACACTTCTTTGCCACCTCTAGCTGAAGAAAGAAACAAAAAAAAGATCCGTGTTTACTTTGAGGTCAACGTGGCCTTGGGCCTGACAAGAAGCAGAAACTCCCCCCAAAAACCTGAAAACTGACAGGGCTGCATTTTCCCAATGAATTCAAACAACAGACTCACACCACACAAATGTACCGCGCTCGACTATCTAATTGCATATATTTAAATGATCATTATCTGGCAGTGTAAACGCAGCGGCAAGGTATACTGCTAACAATCGTGATTTGATTAACTTTATTTTAATTTTATTTTTACCTACGTGACTTTACCGAAAGAACCAAAGAATATGGATCATTGCAGTCACGAAAACTTCAAATCTGGAATTAAACAATAGGAGGGTTTGCGAATTCAAATCCCGTATGGGGGGTTGACTAAACCCATCATCCCTGTGGTGTCGATAAAATATATACCACCTTTAGAAACCCCTCGTGATACCTATGACAACCTGTGTCATTTATACATCCAGAAGAAAAAAAACCTCAGAAGGCCCCATGCCAACCACACTACTACGCCACTGCTGGTGCCCGTGTGCCAGGTGCGAGTGTTCCCCTGCACCGCTTACATCTGCTTGCGGATTTCGGAGGTTGATTCTCGCTTGTACACTCGCTGCTCGCTCTGCAGCCTCCTCTGCTGCTGCACCAGCGACAGATACTCCTTCTCACCTGAGCCACGCAACGCACGCAACCATCGGTCAAAAATCAACAGCAACGAAAACAGCGATAAAAGCTCGCCAGTAATTGGGGGCGAACCTCACCACCGGGCTTCCTGCAAACGCTCACCGGCCGCAGCTCGCCAGACACGTGGACCAGATTCGCACATTTAAGAAACGGCTGAATTACAATCGCACTCTTTGTGTCGTTGTTGGTGAGCAAAATCAAATCAACTTTGATTTGGTGCTTTCGTGACTGCAGGAATTACTCTTTGTTTTTTTCGGTAAAGTCACGTATAAATAAGAAATAATAATAAAATAAAATAATGGTATGTATACTATTATGTAATATTTTTAAAATTATTATTTCTTATTTATACGTGACTTTACCGAAAAAAACTAAGAGTAAAATCAAATCAAGTCATTGCTAATTCCATTTTATATTCGTGCCATTTTTATTGCGTGAGGCTATCACGAACGCGCTGTGTTTCGTAGATATAGTCCGCGGCAGTTTCGTAGTATGTGGCAATTGTTGCGAGATACGTTTTCGCAACCGAGAAATTTGCAGGTAATTCAGTCAGACCATGACTCTGGCATACACGTGCCTGCTGTTTTGAGAACAACACCGGAGGATACTTCACGTCCACTATGAAGCAGACACTGCATATTTGCGGTTAATACCACCCGCATTATTAACCAGGGCGGCCGCGGAGACTGAACCGCAAATGTCTTGCAACAAGTGGCAAAGGCGCTACAGCTCGGCCGCGACGGAGGCACGCTTTTGCGATGAAAACAAGTTTGACAAGAAAGAACAATTTTGCTACGACGAGCTGCAGTGGGTCCATACTGCATGAGCATTGAGTTTGCAGGATATGGAGTCTGAACTGGTTTCTGTCATTCTGCAACACAGTGTCTCCGTTCACTGCAAGCATCGCTCACCGAGCCCATTGTTGCACCACCCTAACCCTGCCTCATCAAAATGAAAATGCCGCGCCAATTTTTTATGGCCTGTCTCATGAAGCAAAGAAAGACACAGTGGCCAAGCGATAGCTGGGCCGTGTCGCCGGTTTGGAGTTCTCTAAGGTGCTCTGCCAATAACTTTTGTCATCACACCCACTGCTCAGCATTCAGCACTGGATTTCACAACGCAGCCAATAAACCCAGCTGCAAACTTTTCAATGCTGTAGCCTGACAACGGTGTAATTTTTAGCGCGATACAGATGGTAGAAAATAACAGGCACGTCGTTTCTGTCCACGCAGTCAGCCATTTATTACCAGTTTGTCTTGAATCATTAAAAATACATTTCAATAAGGCAAGCTTCACAGATTTCATCCGCCCAAATCACCGAATGCGCCCAATCTCACGAGCCTTCAGACGTTAAGCTGGGTTGAGTGTGGTTAATACTTGGATGGTTGATCACCAGGGCTGACAAAGTGTTCTAGCCATGGGACTGCCAAGTTTAAAATCAATTCTAATTCTATGGTGTCCTTCCAAACTAAAGCCGAAGACTCATTAATATGGAACTGGACCAATATTCCGATGCAAGCTCGGGGTCTCTTTAAAATGTGGCGCTATATGAACCATCAATAATAGAATCGATTATTGATCATTCAACGTAAATATTTTGAACAGGGCTTCACTTCAACAGGGGTGTGTTGGATTCTGTGACCTGGAAAATATGAGTGCATCGGGTACACCACATGCAGTAATGCCTGTCGCTATGGTCGCCGGCTACTAGTCACGTGCCTACTCCAGTCTATCAGCGACCCACAAAGTAGTCAGTGAGAGAGGTTAAGCGATGATTATCAATAAAGCCACGTGTGAGGTCCTACCTTCAGCGTCGCTGTCACGATCTGCCGAATCTTGCCGACGGGAAGAGCTCCTCTCTGGACTCATGGTGCCGCCGAATCCTGCCACACGGCACAGCGGAGACTTGGAAAAACAAACCCCAACGGTTTGCAGAAACAACAGGGCAGCTCTACACATTGAGGAATCCTCACAGTCGAGGATTCAAAATCTTCCCTGATAATTAAATATAAAAGTGTACTTTTTTACGGCATCTGTCTACAGCTTTAGATAATATTGTTTTACTATTAATTAAAAGTGACGTCTGGATCGTTCCCGTGAGATGGAACAATGTGTCGGGTGACACATACGTACAGACACGAACGGACTGCACAATCACTGAGAATAACGTTCCCACAAAGTGAAGAGAAATGCCTGCAATGTCTGCTAAACGTACAAAAAATTCACTCTGCGGGGGGAAAAAAATAAAAAACCTACGATGGTGCGTTGCACAAAACTCACAACGTGCCTGCAGAAAGAAGCCGTTCCTGTCCTCGCTCGCTTTTCTCCAAGCCAACGGCCGACCCGCTCCCTTCCCGCCTGCGAAGCGCTCTGCCCTGCGCCGGTGCGATCGACGGCGATCTCAGGATCGAGCGAGCCCCCACGCCGTTGCCAGGGTGGATCCTTGTCGAAGTCAATCCGAGGCGAATCCTCCCACGCCAAGTCGCGAGCTGCCTCGCCCTCCCGCGTGCAAGCGTTGTCTCCGCGCTGCAAAACCGCACACTCGCGTGTCCACCCCTCTCCGGGACGGGCAGTGGGGGGGGGGAGGTTGCAGAGTCTGGCTGCTATGGTGAGAAGTGGTCGACTGGAGCGGTTTAATATCAAAAATTTAACCCAAGTACACGTCGTTGCATGCAGCGGCTTGTTTTATGGTCTTATCGCTACAGCGGGGGAATGTTGGTCTATACACACGCTCTCCCGTTCACAGGGACGCACCGAGCCTAGCAATAGACGGTTGCTGATAAAGGGGCCATAATGGCATTACGAGGGATAGCAATGTGCAAATCAAACTTGGGATGTCAAACTTGGCAGGCTTCCGCAAGTATACGTCAATTCAGGCAGTTTTGCTCATGAGGATAATCGAGTTTTATGTTTAGTGTGTTTTTACACGTATTCCAATTGTGTATTCAGTGACATGCCCTTAGAAAATGCGTGCAATCGGAACTCCTGCAGAAATGTGCAGTACACCCTGTGTGTGAGATAACGGCAGAACTACTTCTGAGAGCCTTTCAAGAGACACATTCACCCTGGGAGTGGCTGCAATTTCCCACATGCACTGCTATAAGCATTGACTGCACAGCAACCAAACCAACACCTTTATATCCTGCAAGTTCGGAATTTAGCCAAAGTCTAAACTCACACTTTATACATTGTTGGTTTTTGTGTGTGTGTGTAATCATTGATGACAGCGCTCTGACCAGAATCTTGCTCGAACCCAGGTTAATCACGCGTGGCTGCCTGGATTCAAACCCAGGACCTCAGTGGTGCCAGCCAAGTGCTAAATATTATGAATACTCATGAACTTCGAAATGTTTGTTTCTCGTTTTCCTTTATTGTTAAACAAAATTAAAATAATGAATGACAGAGATGTTAGCTTTGTTTATAAAAATACCACATTGTGCGAGTTGCAAATGTATAAATTCTGGACATTGAAAATGTGATTAGCACAAAGCATATTTTATCGATCCCTAAAAAACAAACATCCTAGCTCCATGACAAATCTTAGCATCTTTCCCAACGAATTGTAGGTAATGTTATAATTATTGTTTATACCTGTATTTCATAGGCATACCACAGCCCTATAATCCTAAGTCTGCATGAAACAAAGATCAATGCACGTAGGCACAAAGGTATTTATGAGAAGAAAAAGTTGCGAAAACATCAGAAGGTAGTCAACGTGTCATAGAGAAGTTCACAGACTACTCGTTAGCATTCACCGATGGAGAGAGGAGAGCGGGGGGAGAGACCGAGAGAGCCTCGCTCCCTCCCAGAGGGAGCTGGCGAGGGAGGTGGTGAGGGATGATGTAACACCGCATGTGCCAGTGGGCATCATCACCAGCTTCAGCGGATCATGCTAACCTGTATCAATTGTGGCGCATGCCCCAAATGTGGGTTCAGCGACCGCGGCGTTTTAACGGAGGACGGGGAAGATGAGAGGGGAGGGGGCGAGAGAGAGGGGGAAGGGGGCAAGAGAGAGGGGGCGAGAGAGAGGGGGCAAGAGAGAGGGGGGAGGGGGCGAGAGAGAGGGGGCGAGAGAGAGGGGCGAGGGGGCGAGAGAGAGCCTCGCTTCCCCCCAGAGGGAGATGGCGAGGGCGGAGGCACGGGAGTGGGTGAGAGAGAGGGGAGAGAGGGGGTGGATAGAGAGGGAGTGGGGGGGAGGGAGTGGGGGGGGGGGGCGAGAGACGTGTGCACACAGAGCTTCTGGCTTTACCTCTACAAACTTGAATATTTTCACAATTTTTCGTGGGAATTTCATTTACCACCACCAGTGTTTTGCTTTGCACACATTTTTATGTTTATTTAGACACAGTTTTGTGGTTTTCCTTGCTTGTTCTTTTCCGTCTCACTGATCAGGACGTGGCTGCGCTCACCGCAGTGCATAGTTTCTTTGTTCTCTGCCGAATCCCGAGTCAATTCCAAAGTTGATTTCACAGCCACGCGTTATTTTTATTTTATTTTGTGTTTGTGATATTCTATTTTGTTCTCTTGTTTCGGTGTGTTCCACGTGAACACACACGTGCTGTGCCGCACGAGTTGCTACGAGTGCAGTGGAGGGGGTGCGCATTGTGGGCTGTACACCCCCCCCCCGCCCCCGTCCACGCTATCCCCTTTAGACCCCTCTTATTAAGTGCGTGTGTTCACAATATTATCTTTTTTTTTGTTGTGCTCCCTTTTTCGTTTATTTTCTGTTCCTTCTCTTGCTGCGAGTCACCTTCACAAACCGCGCTGTCTGGGTCCTTCAATTCGTGCGGCAAGGTCTATCATTTTCACTTGTGTGTCACGTTGTTTGTTTCGTTTGCCATACTACCGAAGATTACAATCTATTATTTTTACTCTTTTCTCCAGGAGAGCTCTGCGTAACAGTATTTAAAGTGTGAAAAGGCGGTCAAAACACAACGCCTCCCAGACTTGGAGCCAGCAGAGACGTCGCAACCCCTCACACCAGGGGAGGGAGCAGGACAGCCAGCCGCTAGATACCGGAGACGCGGTCCTCTGCCTTCCCGGACACCGCCCCAAGTGACCCGTGGGTAGCGAGGGAGAAGCTCGCGAGGAGAAAGAAGCGGCGTGCGACTGAGGGAGCGTCGCCACTTCAGGAGACCATGGAGAGTGAAGGCGACACGGCCCAGGAGATCGGCCCACCTCCTTTTTGCCCAAGAGCCTTCGCACCCCACCAGCTACGGAGGTACAGGACGCAGCCAGTATAGTGACAACTTGCTCCACCCTCGACTAGGAGGAGGAAGTTGTTGGGGATAAAACACTGATCACACCGACTACGGGCAAGGAAGACGCGAATGGGACTGAGGAGGAGGGTCCCCATCTCACTACCGACCCTAAACCGGTGGAAGCAACACCCCGGTCATCCACCCGATGGGCCTGAGCAGGATCCATCCCAAGCTATCTCTGACCTTAGGGGAGAAGACGCCACTGGGCCAAGAGTCGGCCCAGCCGCTGCAGCTCTCCCAGCTGCGCCAGAGAGCTGGGAAGGTGAGTCGGATCAGGACGACCGCCTCAGCATGGGGATCGAGGACAGCCAAATGTCGACAGATCTCGACCATCAGACGCCCCAGTTTTCCCCAGAAGAACTCTGGGACTTCCTTGAGGAGACCAATGGGAGGAAAAGACAGAGTGGACATTGCCTTCTCCAGATGGCATGACATCAAGGCATCAAAGGCCTTTGTAAACCTGGCCCTGAGACTCCTCGCCAAGCAGGGGAGGAAAGTATCAAGGGTGAGATATTTCCGCAACTAAAATGCTACGTGGGAGGCTGCAGAGGCCAATAGCAAGCATGGTGTACTAAACCCATGGTCATCAGCTCCGTGACCATGTATGGGTGTAGGGAGGCAGTGCGGAGGTTTTTCGCAGTGTCTCTTGCGAGGAAACTCGTCGCCTCGGTGTTTTTCATCCAGGAGACGCTCCTCATGGTTGAGGATGAGACTGGAGGATAGCCACCTTGAGAGCACCTCCTGTAAAGTTGCGACCCTGTTTGCACACGGGTTAAATCGCGAGCTCATCGACTAGACTGAAGTGGTGAAGGGGCAGGGTGCTTGCGGTGACAGTCAAAAGTTGGCAACGTCACCACCCATCTACTGAACGTGTATGCACCCTTAGCAGACCACAATCGCATAGTGCTTCACGTCAGGGTACAGAGAACCCACATCAGCGCGTCCCACTGGCACTCTAACAACGCGCTGCTGGAGGACATGGCCTTTGTAGACCGTTCGAGAGGTTCTGGGAACAGTGGCAAAAAAACGAAATGCAGTTTGAGTCTGTCGCAGTGGCGAGACGTGGGCAAGGCACGCATAAGGCCGATGTGTCAACAGTGCACCTGAGGGAGCACGCGGCAGAAACACATGGACATCGCCAAGATGGAGACCCAAGTCCTCGATCTGGAGGGTTGCCTCTCCGAGAAGTGACCCCGCTCTTCTTCAGGAGTTCGAAGAGAAGAGGGAGCACCTCCAGGTCCTACAGGAGGAGCAGACGAAGGGGGCATTTGTGGGATCGAGTGAAGTACATTGTCGACCTCGACTCCGGATCCCCCCCGCCTCTTCTACTCCCTCGGGAAGCAGAATGGGAGGCGCAAGACTGTGGAGCGACTCTTTGATAGTGATGGTGCTCTGGCTCGTGAGTTCCAGCAGATGTCAACCATAATCAGAGAATTCTACGGCAGCCTGGTCTCCGCTGAACAGACATCATGTGAACAGACATCATGTGCAGCCCAGGAGGAGGCACGGAGTGGTCTGCCCACCCCTTTATGGGGTGCCGGCACACGTCATCAACAGCGACCAGTCGTACATCATCTGCGGAAGAACCATCCATGATGCCATCTGCCTGATCAGGGACCTCACCACAGTGTCCCAGAGGATGGGGATCACACTCGCTATGCACCGATTGAGAGTCCTATTAAAACACCTCTGTGTAATACTTTTAAAAAAAGAGAGAGATGGTGAGGAAGAGAGTAAGAGAGATGGCTTCTGAGGTGTTTTTGTTTGTGTTTGCACTGTGTAAATATGTAAAATATATTGTATTTAAAAGGCCAGAAGAGAAAAACTAAAATGGTAAAAAAGCGACATGATGAATGAAGCAAATTGCCGAATAACTGAGAAATTTTATGTTTCTTCTGATCAGACAAAAAAAACTGAGGGGAGGGAGGGAGAGAGATCCCAACATCTTCAGGGGCTGGTCAACGTGCTCGTCAGCTACGCCAAGCTCGCCATATACAGGGCGAGGAAGGTAGCCCTGGAGGGGCAACGTCCGGCCAGCAGCCTGGGCATCTTCCGCGCTATGGTCGGAGCCAGGGTGTGGCTGAAGTTCCGCCATACGCGGCTGACCCACGCCGTGCCGGCCTTCAAGGAGCAGTGGTCACTGGAGGAGGCCGTGTGCTCGGTGGCAGCAGACAGAGAGCTCTGCGTGCAGATCTGAGCTACCCGTCGGAGGCCGTAGGACTGCGAGAAGGGCTGGGTGCAGATGCAGCACTTGTCGTAAAAAATAATAATACAAATATTACATAGAAAACATAGGGGGAACATAGACATGGAGTAGGGCGAGAGGGGGTAGAGAGAGAGGGGGGTAGAGAGGGGGTAGAGAGAGAGGGAAGGGGTAAGGAGGAGAGCAGAGCGTGAAATATTTTGTGAAATATTTCATTTAAAAAGGGGGCGGGGTTTAACATAAAGCAAAGCTTCGATTTAAAGCTTTCGTGACTGCAATGATTCATCTTCTTTGGTTCTTTCGGTAAAGTCACGTAGAATGAGAATAAAAGAATAAATTGATAAAATAAAATAACACAATAATATTCTCACGACGTTTCGGCCACAACACAAGCAGCCTTCATCAGGTGAAGGGGGCGAGACTGTCTGGTAGGACAGCGCTGGAGTGAGAGAGCCACGTTCAGATCACGGCTTTTAAGCTGTGTGAGAGGAACAAAGAGCCTTGACAAAGGAATTAGCATAAAATTTAGCATTGAAATGGCTGAATGATTAGCTTGTGACTGGTCACAGAAATAGCTATGTTAAAAGTTAAAGCATACACATCCGCAGAGGCACCCATTGTTAAAAGGAATTAGCATAGAATTTAGCATTGAAATAGCTAAGTTAAGGCATACACATCCGCAGAGGCACCCCTTGACAATGGGATTAGCATAGAATTTAGCATTGAAATGGCTGAGTGATTCGCTTGTAACTGCTACAGAAATAGCTACGTTGAAGTCAGAGCATACACATTCACCGAGGCACTTAGTACAAATCAAACAGGAGAATTTAGCATTGAAATAACTAGGCGAATTTAGCATTGAAATAACTGGGTGATTTGCTAGTGACTGGTCACAGAAATGACTACACATCTGAGCTATTCACAGTACTATATAGTGAACCAATAAAAACTAAAATATAAATTACCTTCATGTTATCAATAAACTCTATATTCTCCAATCAGCTAAGCTACCAACCATAAGTCGTTATATATCACAATGCTATATGGCGAAAAAATGGGTGGATTCTTACCCTCAAATTTCCGTACCACGGATAGCTACGGGCCCCGTTCAGACGGATGAGTTTGTCCATGGTCGGAACTAGGGCCTCGCAGCTGTCTCTCTCCCCCTCCTCTGTTCCGACCATGGACGAACTCGTCCGTCTGAACGGGGCCCGTAGCTATCCGTGGTACGGAAATTTGAGGGTAAGAATCCACCCATTTTTTCGCCATATAGCATTGTGATATATAACGACTTATGGTTGGTAGCTTAGCTGATTGGAGAATATAGAGTTTATTGATAACATGAAGGTAATTTATATTTTAGTTTTTATTGGTTCACTATATAGTACTGTGAATAGCTCAGATGTGTAGTCATTTCTGTGACCAGTCACTAGCAAATCACCCAGTTATTTCAATGCTAAATTCGCCTAGTTATTTCAATGCTAAATTCTCCTGTTTGATTTGTACTAAGTGCCTCGGTGAATGTGTATGCTCTGACTTCAACGTAGCTATTTCTGTAGCAGTTACAAGCGAATCACTCAGCCATTTCAATGCTAAATTCTATGCTAATCCCATTGTCAAGGGGTGCCTCTGCGGATGTGTATGCCTTAACTTAGCTATTTCAATGCTAAATTCTATGCTAATTCCTTTTAACAATGGGTGCCTCTGCGGATGTGTATGCTTTAACTTTTAACATAGCTATTTCTGTGACCAGTCACAAGCTAATCATTCAGCCATTTCAATGCTAAATTTTATGCTAATTCCTTTGTCAAGGCTCTTTGTTCCTCTCACACAGCTTAAAAGCCGTGATCTGAACGTGGCTCTCTCACTCCAGCGCTGTCCTACTAGACAGTCTCGCCCCCTTCACCTGATGAAGGCCGCTTGTGTTGTGGCCGAAACGTCGTGAGAATATTATTGTGTTATTTTATTTTATCAATTTATTATTTTATTCTCATTCTACATGACTTTACCGAAAGAACCAAAGAAGATAAAGCAAAGCATTAAAAAAAAACGAAGTGATGAACGAAGCAAAGTGCCGACTACACCGAGCATCTTCTTGTTTCCTCTGATCGTAACAAAAAAAGAGAGATAGTGGGAGGGAGTGAGAGGAAGAGATCGAGAGAGAGCCTCGCTTCCTCCCAGAGGGAGCTGGCGAGGGAAGAGGGCGAGGGATAGGGAGAGAGGGTGGGGGAGAGAGTTCTCCATCGACTATCAAGAATCGCAGCCGCTCTCAGCGTCCGCGTGACGCCTGCCAGGTGTAGCTGCAAAACGTCGGCCAGGCAGAGTCTTCGCTGTCCAGCGTCCTCCCCCACTCCCACCGTGTCCGTGCGATGCCGTGAGTGTGTCTGCGAGGCCCTCTGCGCGAGACCGTAGTCTGGGATGGACGTTGCGATGGCTGAGAGGGAATTCGCCCGGCTGGACGATGGAGAGGTGGGAGTAATTGATGAGCAAGTTGACTCAGCGGTGACAGGAGGTGGTGTTGGTGGTGGAGGAGGAGATGGAGGAAGTGGAGGTGGTGGAGATGGAGGAGGTGGGGGTACATCGCTCTCATAGCGATGGCGATTGTCGTCTCGGCCGAGGGGCGCCTGACAGTGAGGTACATCCGTTGCTTCATTACTGAGAACTTCCCCTTCTATCAGGAAAATGACAAGAAGTGGAAAAACGGTATCCGTCGCTGCCTCACGTTTGAAGACTGCTTCATTAAAGTGCCCAAAGAGCCGGGCCGGCCGGGCAGAAACAATCACTGGGTCGTGGACCCGGCGGCTGCAAACATGTTTGATGATGGCTCGTATCAGCGCAGGAGGAAGAGGCTCAAGTGTTCACCGCAAAACTCTGGCGCCTTCTCCCCGCCCCAGCTGGACCATCAACAGCAACATTTGTGTCAACAACAGCAGCAGCAACAGCTACCCCCTTGGGAGGACAGCTGGTCCTCCCAGGAGAGCTACAGCTGCCCCAGCCTTGAGATGCTGGCCTTGATAAGCCTCATACAAGGAGTTGGCAGCAATGGCAGCTCCACCACCACCAGCAGCGGTGATAGCAGGAGCAGCAACGTGATCGCCAGGGGAGCGACAGCGTCTGAATGCTCGCCGTGGGCTTTGGGCTGCTGTATTCCGAACAGAGGCGCCGCAGCCGAGCACCTTCACCACCACCCTCACCACCACCCTCACCACCACCCTCACCACCACCCTCACCACCACCCTTACCACCACCCTCACCACCACCCTCACTACCACCCTCACCACCACCCGTACGGACCGATCACGCCCGGGTCAGGGTCAGCAGTAGGCCCACTTGTGGCTCGTGTGGTCATCACTGGAAGCACCGCTCAGTGTTGACGTTTTGCTGGCCCCTTGCAGAGACACCGGGGGGGGGGGGGTGGTGCTGAAGGGACAGCTCCCACAGGCACGCCACAGATGCCTCGTGTCGCCTCCTGTCACAGACTGCGATCCGGTCGCTGACGCCACGATATTTGGAGTTTTTGTGTTCCACTTTTGGCCGTGTGGATTAATCCCTCCGGTTTTTCTCTCCACATTTAGAATCGTCATCACGTGGTTTTGAAGTACTTGTCTGCTATAAATGTCCACATGAAACACTTTGTTGAGCTATCATTTGTGATAGCCAGCTTGCTTCTGAAGCACAGCTACATAGCTCAGTGGGCCTTACTTGGTAAAGAAAAATGGTTGATCGTTTTCGTCAGACCACACGCCGGGCTACTGTGCTTCGCCTTTGTTTATGTTGCACATTTTAGAGGGGTTTGGTTTTCATGTTGAGCTACTGTGATATCGATGTCTACGCACCACCCTCATGTTACTTTTAGGCTGAGGTGACCAAGGGGAGTGCCACGGCACGCACATAGCGCTTTATGAACGTGTGCTTTAGAGTGTGTGGCTGCGGTTTTAATGTTCGACGTGACGACGAGCCTCACCTGTTGAAATTGTAAAAAGCGCTACAGACGCATAAAAAAAAGAAATGGAGGGAGAGGGGAGAGAGAGGAGAGAGAAGGAGAGAGAGGAGAGAGAGGGAGAGGGGAGAGAGAGGAGAGAGAGGGAGGGGGGAGAGAGAGGGGGGGGGTGCCGGAACCTAGCGGCCGCTGGAGGGAGAGGAGCCGCAGGAGGCACGGAATCCCTGGCTGTCTGCGATGTGTACCCTGAGCTAAGTGGCGCCATCATAGCCAATAATGTGGACACTTTTAAGCGTCGTCTAAAAACACACCTTCTTACGTCCATTTATTCTATTTAGCTTCTCATTCTCTCTTGGCCTTTCCTTAACCCTATTTTTACAGGGTGCCTTCAGACATTAGTGGAAGGCGCCTTACAAAGAAATGTTAATTATTATTATTATCGGAAGAGCTTTCCAGACCGCCGCAGCGCGCGACGCGTTGACCGTCTTCGTTCGACGGCGAGCCAAAGCGTTGGCGTGATGGTAGGTCAAGGGGTTGCCTCACGGCTGCTTCAACGGCGTCGCGATGGAATCCACATTTTGGCTGGCCCTTGCGTGCGGCGGCAGCAGCTCACAGTCCCTTGTTGAAGAAGACCCTCGCCACGGCGTCGCCGTGTTTGTCGACGATCGACTTCTGCAACTCGGGCTCCAGGTGGCTCACCTCCATGGAGCTGTGCGGCACAGCACCAACACTCAGCGCCAACACACAGCCATCGATGCTGTAACAGGGATTTTGCTTACTATGTGGGGTGCGTGTTATAACGGGGTGTGGAGCATCCCGTGCATACCAGGTTTGAGGGTAGAGTGCACATCCAGCTGGCACCATGAAAGTCAAACTGTAAACAAATGTTCCCAAACATTGGTCACTTTTTTTATATATAACGTAAAGAGTGTGCCACTTTCAAACAAAAATAACATCACTATCTTAAAAACATATTAAGAATGAAATAGGGATGTCTTGCTCACCACTGAGGCAGTGGTGGAAAATCCACATTCCTACGGAGGGTCTATGCATATGACAATCCTAACAGTTAGCTTCCTCACAAAGTTGTACTAAATTTATCGACCCCCAGAGGGATTCGAGGAACGGACGACTTTACAAATGGGAGTCACTTGCTCTACCACTGAGGCACTTGACCGGATCGTGATTAGAATATAATCATCATTATTCAGTCATCGCATACAAATGAATGCCAACTCACAAGCATCCCAGGAGGACAAGCTGTATCGGGCCAAGCAGAAACCGCTTCCGCTGCTCGGTGTGAAATGAAAAGGGTAAAATATCAAAGGGCAGAGAGGATAAAGAGGTTAAGGAGACGCACACGCACGGCTTGACAAATACAAGGCCCCGCCAAAGGTCAAAGACGTTTGTTAAATCAATCCGACGTGAATTGTAAACAAATGTATGTTTTTAGCCATCATTAAATAATACATTTACTTTATGAATACAAAACACATTGCTTAATAGTAACCTAATTAAAACAATAAAGTTGACTCATAGATAATTAGTGTCCACATACAACTACAGATAAAAAAGCATTTCACAAAATACAAACCTGCATAAATGCGTATTTTTCCAACCTCTGCATGACGATTGGTAGGATAACTAGGAAAGGATAAAATACAATAAATTACTTACTTGCATATACAAAGTCATGAACTGGCAGCATACAAGATGAGTGTATTTAGTCGACAGTGGACATCTGCTCTTGGTCTATACTTAAAAGAACAAGGCCATGTGTAGCAAGCGCGGTTCTGAATGTCACCTCTACGTCGCTCAATAAAAATAAACAAAACAGTGGACATCTGGAGATGGATGCACAGACAGATGGACGCGGAGACAAACTGATAACGCGACAGACACTCAAACACAACGATTGTCACATCATATTATTGGTTCTTTTGGTAAGGTCACGTAGAAGGGAAACAATAAAATAATAATTAAAAAAAGATCTCTCTTTTTTATTATTTTATTGTTTCCCTTCTACGTGACTTTACCGAAAGAACCAAGAATATGAATCCCTGCAGTCACGAAAGCTTTAAATCAAGATTGTCACATCAATTAACTTTACAGTTACTGCTCGATTTACCTATGGACAGGTTACCTGCATTGCTTCATAACCGCTATTGCGATAAAATACATCAAATGTATATCTTTTATGTGCGCACGGGATAAATTAGCAGCTGCTTCTCACTTGTCTAAGGTCAACAACAACAATGACAGACGACATTCTACACCTCCACCCCCCGTTTTACATATGTAAGCAATCCATTCGATCTTGAGCCAAATGCAAACGTACCTCGTATCGCTGTTTTACCTAGACCACCCCTCGCACCCCCTCCCCCAAACCCAATTACCCCAGATCATCGAGAGTTATCCGTTACGCTATTAACAAAATGCAACCAACATGGAGTAAAAAACAACAACCCAAAAGACATAAAAAAACGACAAGATAAAAACGAGGGTCATTTTCAGGTACAGTCTGTTCTCCTACAACGCGGTAGTTATGGAAAAAATCGTGTTAAAATAAATAATATATAATATATAGGGGTGAAGCACAGCCCGCGATAATGCGCGAGATGCGTACGCAGGCTCAACAAAAGACGGAGGCACGTGAGGAGCATCGAGAAGCATCCAGCAGCATCCCATTGCCCTGCATGACGCTACGCCGAGGCAGCCCGGCGTCCGCTTATTCCAACTCGCGTGACGCGGTTCCGCTCACCCAACCGCGTGATATCCAATTCTCGTCTGCGTGATGAAAAAATGTGCTCCCTCATATATTCATCGTGTTATATAAAAAAAAAAACCCGCGTTCTAGGAGAACGGGACCGTGAACCCAACGCTCCGTGCGGGCGCTCTGCGCGAGAGCGATGTCGGAAGGGGTAGCGCGAGCTGCTCGTTAACTGCGCAGAGGACACTCACTCATGCCGGGCGCGGCGATGGTGATTCGCGAGACCACCACCTGCGCGATTCCCTTCACAGCCGCCTTCTGTCTCACGACGTCACGGAGCATGGGAAGGGGGGGGGGTGTGGGACACACACAGCGACATGATGAGTGTCGGTGTCTGACTACTCAACATGAGTGTCGGTGTCTGACTACTCAACATGAGTGTCGGTGTCTGACAATGCGATGGAGTCAACAGCTCCGCTCATTTCTGTCCCAAGCATTGAGCCCCGTTGTTACCAATAGCTGAACGTTGCATTCTATAAACTTTGTATTGTTTAACCAAGTAAGGCCCACTGAGCTATATAGCTATTGGGATTGAGAGGCTTGTCTTCCAGCAGTTGCTTGACAAAGAAATGTTAAAACCATCATGTTGTATGAATTATAAATAATAATTCTTACACGCAAGATTCGAAGCATGCATCGAGAGCGTAAGAATGGATTTTAGTCGATGCATCATTACATGCCTGGTACGTACATTTATACTTTAGTTTCAGAAAAAAACGAGGGAAAGGCCGTGGAGGATGGTTAATTGTGTGTTCAATACTTAACACACAGCGTGGGGTTTGCTGTTGATTCTCGCTCTCACTCACCCTGGAATGTCCAAGTTCATTTCCGTTCTCATCAGTCACGACGATTCCTTTAATGATCTCTCTGAAAGACGAACAGCAAGAAGCACCACGCGCATGACACGGCTAGAAGCCACGGGGGGGGGGGGGGGGGGTTAATTTCCCAGTTCGCTTGCTTTGCTGCTAAAACCCACTTGCGATGGAGTGGAAAAACAACCATGACCGGAGGAGGTGGTGTTATTTATATTTTAGTCTTTTGGCCTATTCCCCAACTTTATTCGGCCGGAGTACAATTGGTTTCACGTCACGAGAAAAAAATTATCCGTTCGGAAATCTCGCAGAGCGATGCAAACCCAAGTGTCTGCGAACTGCTGGCAAATAACTTCTCACGGAACTTTAGAAAAATCCTTAAAGTGGCCTTTGTAGCCTCTATACAACAGGCGGCACACTTTCCCTCATATTCCGTGCCGATTGTTGCAGTATTTGATATACGACAGTCAAAACGACATTGATATTATTAGAGCTGTAATTTGTGTAAAACCACGTTTTTCCAATATTATTTTTCTGCAGCCACCGGTCAACTGATGCCTGCATACCCGGTTTAATCGTGCACCTTCAACGCTGCAGTCTCAGCACTGCAAGCTGGCAGACCGCCTTTAAGCGGAGTTATTTAATCTTTTCCCATTCCGATGACGTACGTCCCCTTCACCAGCCTTTTCTAAAATAAAATAACTCAATTGGTACCGAGGCTCCCACAAGGCCATGCGGGAGGGTGTGTGGCACAGTTTGGCACCAGCCATCATAGTGCGGTCGTGTCGTTACAGTTTACTGCGGTGAGTACAATGTCTTTTAAAAACAACGGCGCTATGGCTCTAAATAAAATTAGCGCTGAACCGTTCCGAGATTCAGCGGGTAACGGGACACCCACGCTGCAACTTGAAGACTTCTCGCAACAGGAAAGGTGTTAATGGGCATCAAGACCCACATCGCTGCCAAATATAAGACTGGACAACCCCTTATTGTGAGTAATTATACGTGGTCGCACTTACTGTTGCCGCATCATGGGTATATTCACGCAGTTGGCAGCTGCCACGGCCACAAAAGGGACCCAGCGGGCCACCAGCGGTGGCGCACTCTGTGAAAGACGTCAACGAGCACAGTGTGATTCCAATATAATTCGAATTACAAATTTATAGAATCTTTTTCAGCCAATCTCTGTCGGTCACTCGCGTACCTTGGTGGAGAGGTTGAGCCCCACAGCTGTGACAAGAGCAGCGCTTGTGGCAGTCACGTAAGCCATGCCTATCTGCCTGTGCACACACAACATGATGAAGACAAAGGCATCCCGGCTTAACCAGATACATGAACAAGACCCATTAACCAGATTAATTAACCGGATCAATTAACCAGACTCATTAACCAGACCAATCAACCAGACCACTTAACCATACCCATTAACCAAGGACGATTAGCCATGGCATTGCAGGCCAAAGCAATAACCGTGCCAACACCCAGCACCACCATGCTCATAGATAATGCATAATGTACATAACTGTGACCGAGTGATGAATTAAATTATAAGCTTCCAGAAGGGCTAGAAAGCTGATAATTTCCACAAATAATGTACGGTCGAATATCTTCTACTTGTGTAATGCTACATGTCAAAAGAAATATTGAAAATCTCACTACCAATTACCAGTACGATAACATTTTATATATCTGCTAGACTTACTGATATACGCATTGAACTCTCATCCAGATTTGTATAACGTATTAAACAGATTGCATAAAAAAAAAACTGCGCATTTGCTTTGCGGTCAGAATGTAACACTTTTGGGGAAGACGCAAGCTTTAAAAATTGCGCCCCCATCACCACCTCTGTTCACGCACGGTAATCGCTGCTCTTGGGAGAAAAGGAGAATGACAAACTTGGGCATCGCGTTTACCTTACTTTATCTCTGGTTCTGTTTGGTTACATTATTCCCCCCACCCACCCCTCCCACATTTCCCATCTTCTTCCCGTTCTCCTTAAGTACGCCGCTCCCGATCGTTACCGCTACGGCGGCGGTAGGGCAGCGAGCCCGGACACCCCTCCCCCGTTCGTTCCCCGACTTTGAGGGTGCATTACGCTGAGTTTGTTACCTCCGATGAGCACAGGGCACGCGGCTCTTTCAAGATTGCTTCGTGACATTATTTATTAAGGACCGTCTTATACTCGCAAGTATTGTAGCTCTTTGCGATATTGGGGGGTGGGGGTTCCCAAATTCGAAAAAATTGTCTCTTCTTGTTATTATTGTTGCCGACTCCTGGATTCGCAGCTCCAAGTAGCACAGCTGACCAAGTAGGGTGCGAAATAAGTCCCTACATACATACATACGGTACACGTTACCTGCTGTCCCCCCCCCCCTCTTTTTAAATTCTATTTTGCATTCTGGGTTCTTGAATGACAATACAATTTGTTATATGTTTATACATATGTGATGTATATATATACATCATATATATGATGTATATATGATGTATATACGATGTATATACGATGTATATATGATATATATGATGTATATATATGATGCATATATATGATGTATATATATGATGTATATATATGATGTATATATATAAAAATAACAAAAACAATTGCGCTCCAGACTTACGTGGACGTGATGGGCGAGGCAGCATTGCGGTTCGTGTAGTTGACCAAAGCATTGAAGGATTGGTTAATCCATTGCCACAAGACCACGGCCGGTATGGACCTGACAAAGTAAAGTCACATGAGGGCTGAATACTTTTTGTTAATTTACGCTTTTCACGAATCTTTCCACATTCTAACCCGATCGTGCGATCGGCATCATGTCGAGCAACCCTGGCAACAAAACTGAAACCTTTTTACAAGGATTCATGTCTGCATTATCCACAATACCTGCAGTCAAAATGCAAACAAAAAACATACTATGAAAATATATGCATTGTCCTTGAAACTGATTGGTCCACACCAAGGGACGGCTTTCTTTTGAGCCTCGACCCAATTGGTGCTCGACCAGATGACGCCAAAAGGCGTACAGCTGTACAGGCTCAAAAGAAAGCCGTCCCTTGGTGTGGACCAATCAGTTTCAAGGACAATGCCACATATATTATCATAGTATGTTTTTTTGTTTTCATTTTGACTGCAGGTATTGTGGTTACTGCAGACATGAATCCTTGTAAAAAGGTTTCAGTTTTGTTGCCAGAAAAAATGGGAAAAACCCTATTATTACATTTTGGTACTGGCAAAGGTAGTCTAATGATGTAGATGCTCAACCCTCTTTTGTTTGAGAACGGCCAATGGAAACGAACGTTGCTCTTCAGGTGCCCTGTTCATCGTATGACAGCAGAAAAACCGATGTTTCAATGATCAGAGTTGGAATTTAGCCACGTGATGTGGAACACCAAATTTTAGCGTGACCGGTTTTTTTTTCCCAGTCCTTGTTGAGTGGGGGGGGGGGCTGAGCCACGTGATGTGGAACACCAAACTTGACAAGCCAGTTTAATCACACAGGTGGCTGCCTCCGACTCATCATCATGCACTACATTGCCGGAGCAGTAGAAGCAAATAAATGACGACGATGACGATGAGAATTATCATGAACAAACACTTGTTTTGTCCCTGGGTAGTAAGCGTTATTTTCTAATTGCTTATGCCTCAAAACATACAGAACATGGCTATGATGCCCCACAAACTTTGCTTTTGTGACAGGGACTTTATGTGAAGGAATGAGAGGGGGTGGGGAGGGGGCTGGGGAGGGGGGTGGGGAGGAGGTGGGGGAGGGGGGTGGGGAGGGGAGGGGGTTGGGGAGGGGGAGGGGAGGGGGTTGGGGAGGGGGTGGGGAGGGGGGAGGGGAGAGGGAGGGGGGTGCGGAGGGCGAGGAAACTGTCGGCTGGCAGGCGGAACTGTCTGTCCGTCCGCCCAGGGAGGGCACCAGGGTGGCACCTGTAGAACTGCAGCATGCCGGCGGTAATGACGAGGCCACCGGGGACCTGGAAGGACATTCGGCCGATGATGTTGTTGCGGTCGCTGGTGTCCGGATGGAAGGCCGAGTCGTAGAGCTTCTTTGCGTAGTGCAGCTGCTCCACGGTGGTGCCCGGTGGAGTCGATCCAGCCCTGCGCAGCAAACCCCAACAGTTTGCGCCGCCATCATCGTCATCACGATCCATGGGCAAGATAGCCCGGAGGTGTCTGCTGCACATTTCGTCATTTTTTTCCCCCACTCTCCTCTCTGTCTCGTGCCAATATGCTCGAGTGGCCACATCTTTCTGGTACCAATCTCTTATATCGTCGTTAAGGGGCAGTCCATAAATGACGTCACGCGATTTTTGACGATTTTTTACCCCCCCCCCCTTCATCACAAGGCGTCACAAAAAGTCAGACCCCCCCTCAAATATGACGTCACAAAGCTCTGCCCCCCCCCCAAAAAAAAATAAAACATGCTTCAAATCTCTTTAAACTATTGTCATTGTAGTGCGTATTTAATGTGGCCCTGCACTCTGTTGTAAGAGAAGACATTCATTAAAAAGTCTATTTAATTAAGTAGAACGTGTTGTCTATATTTATTTAAAGTTGCGCATTTTGATGTGACGTCACATTTCTCAAACCCCCCCCCCATCGTCACAAATGTCTGACCTCCCCCCCCAGGTGCGTGACGTCATTTATGGACAGCCCCTAAGCCATTCTGTGTTCGGCATTCCTCTTTTTCCGGTTCCTTCCATTTCTTTCCAAACACACTTTTAATATTCCGGTTGTTGTCCATCCTACCAGGGGTGGAGCCACAGGGGGGGCTGGGGGGGGGGGCTTAGCCCCCCCTACATTTTTGGGAAAGTCGGTAATTGGGATAACCGGATATCTGGCTGCTGCAAAATGCTGCAGGCTGCCACCTTGTGCTGCCCTGCAGGCTGCTTGAGCGGCAGCCTTTAGAACTTATAAAACTTATTAGCCACATCAGCGGCTCCGACCTATTAATAAACTCCGCGTTCAAATCCAATAAAATTTGTTTTATACATTTGTGGCGCCCATTGGAAAACATAAACACTGGGTATCTCAGAATATTGAAGTCAGCCACCCCAAAGTCAAAATCCTGGCTCCGCCCCTGCATCCTACACGTGTGTCCAAATAGTTCCAGTTTCCTTCTCACCACTGCCTGCATCATCGGGTCTTCTTCTATGGGCAACCTTTTTCTTCGGTTGATAAATGTGTAGATCACCCACTACATTGACTGCAATATTCTCTCATTATTCACTAACTTGCTATTCGCGATTTTGGCTATCCACGAATCACATCTGGACCTCTGCAAGACTGCATCGAGAGAGAGCAAGTGATGAGAGAAAGTGATTTGATATACTTATTGATTTAATCATTAAAATAAAATATAGGTTTTCATCGGTCAATATCATTATCCACGAAATTTGTTATTCATGAGCATCTCTGGAACGTATCCCTCTGTGTGAATAACGGGGGAATATTGCTGTGTTCGTGGACTGTGGCCACGCTTATCCCCTAGCGCCGAGAGCCCTGCTCCCTGGCTTCCCTGCCCCCGATTGCCCTCCCTCTTAATCCCTGCCCCTAATTGCTATGCCCCAGAATTCCCTGCCTCTGGGTTTCCTGCCCCTGATTTTTAGGGGTGCCGCAGTGGCGAGATTTTAACTACCTCGCTTGGTATGCACGGAGCGCGTGGGTTCGACCTCGGCCCTGACGCCTGCTGTGTATTTTGTAGTCTGCATGTCTCTCTCTCTCTCTCCCTGTGGTCGCTTGGATTTTTCTCCGGGGTTCTCCGGTTTTTCGCTCCACATTTAGAAACGTCACGCGTTTAGAGTATTTGGCTGCGATACATTTCCACGTGGTACGTCACTTTGTTGAGCTATCATTTGTGGCCAGGTCGCTTCTGAAAAAGAGCTACATGGCTAAGTGGGCCTTACCCGGTAAAAAAGAAATATAATACCATTTTCTATTGCACCGTAAAGTAACATGGCAAGCTATTGTTCACAAGGGCCCTGAACAGGGAGAAATGACCTCTACAAAGTCCTCCCACCAAATCTCAAAACACTCGCTTAAGCTTTCAACACTCTTAACAACTGTATGATACGAAGTCATCGTTTCTACAATGATTCAATCGCCCGCGTTGGGAAGAAAGTAAAAGGGTCATTAAAAAAACCACCAGGATCACCCAATGTATTATTCACACATACAGTCCGCGTTCTCCTATAACGCCACGTGTTTTCACAATGCGAACTGGCTATAAAGCGATTGAGTGAACAGAACTACGTCGCGCGAGTAAGGGGTCGTAACGGCTGCCTCGGCGTAGCATCATCACACGAGGCACTGGGATGCTGCTGGATTCTTCAAGATGCTGCCCACGCACCTCGGTCTTTGTTCGGCCTGCGCAAGCATCTCACGTATCATCGTAGACTGCTCTTCACCCAACATTATTTATTTTGACGCGATTCCCCCACAACGCGGTGGTCTCCATGAAAGCAACTACCGCGTTATCAGAGAACAGACTGCACAACAGCCGTGTCCATCCACCGCTGGATGAAGGCCTCCCTGTATCGACGTTTCCACCACTGTCGTACGTGGGTCGGTAGTCCTCTGGGCCTCTCTCTCTCCGGGGCGTGCGTCTGACCTGCACAGCATCACGAGCTCCTTGGCTCGCTCCAGCTCGGAGTTGGACAGCAGCGCGGTGCGCGGGTCGGTGATGTTGAAGAAGTGCTTGAGGCGTCCCACAAAGGTCGTCTGGTCCCATCGCGGTGCGTCCACGTTGAAGGGTGTCTTGCTCTGCGACGCCATTGATCTGTGGACACGGTGTGAGCGAGGGTTTTAAATCGGGCGCGGCTATCTCCTTTCCTCTCAACTAATCCCTGCTTCCTCTTCCTCCCTCGGACATCTTCCCAACCACTGTCCATGGATGTGACGGCTCTGCTATCTTATGCAATTTTGCTAAGGGTTGCTAATAAACAACCCTTACACGTGTACGTATGTTGAACTTCTTTCGCACCGTGTGTAGCCCTACCGTGCTAATCGGAGGTGCGGGGGAAGGGCAACAAACTAAACACAAAAAGCAGTTCTCAAGAAATTAGTTTTCGATCTAGATGATTTAAAAGCGCAAAGCTCCAGTGACTTCCCACCCAGACGGCCGCAGAAGCGCATCTGAAATCGCAAAAAGCAAAGTTCTGGGTTTAATTGAAGCAAGTTTAACACGTAGGCTTTCGCGACCAATATTATCCATTTATAATGCTGGCACATCGCCGAATGAAGCTGGTTGTAATCACCAGCGAAACGTCGTACTAAAATTGTACATTTTAAGGGTTTACTCTCCAACACACCGGCGTGCTGAAGCAGTAACTAATTAGCGTGTTTTGGTTACGTGACAAATCTTATTAATTGGCTGTGTCGGGTGGTGGCGGGTGAACGACACTTGATTCTTAAAAATACACACACCACGTGTCTCCAAGTCTATCCGTGAATCTTCCCCGTCTCATACCTGTCAACCCGTGTCACACCTGTCAACCCGTGTCAAACCTGTCAACCCCTTATCAGTGCCTAGGGGCCGTCCATAAATGACGTCACGCGATTTTGGCCGATTTTTGACCCCCTCCCTTCCCCCCTCGTCACACGGCGTCACACAAAGTCAGACCCCCCTCAATATGACGTCACAAAGCTCTGCCCCCCCACAAAACCATATTTACATTTTTTAAATAAAACATGCTTCAAATAACTTTAAACTATTGTCATTGCAGTGCGTATTTAATGTGGCCCTGCACTCTGATGTTGTAGGAGAAAACATTTATTAAAAAGGAGGTGTTGGAAATCTGAAATTTAGCATAAAATTCACTTGAAAATATTCATCGTCTAACTAAAACTGGAAGATGTTCAGAATATTATATTGAAATTATCTTATAATAATAAAATATAAAAAGTAATTATAACTATAAAAAATACTTGAAACTTTGTAGTAGAATGACAATCACATATTCATTCCACAGAATCAAAAGCTCTCGTAGAATAATTAAAATAAAAGTGGTTAATAAGAATAATTATTTTTTTTAACAAAATTTATGCTTCTCCATTCTCCCATGGAGAAGCAAAATGCTCCTTCGTGAAATAAATAAAAGGTGACATTAGTAAATTAAAACAATCAAATAGTTAAATTTTGATTTAAAGCTTTCGTGACTGCAGTAATTCATATTCTTAGTTCTTTCGGTAAAGTCACGTTGAAGGGAAACACTAAAATAATAAAATATATATAAAACAATAAAAAATTCTCACGACGTTTCGACCATAACACAAACGGTCGTCATCACCTGATCTCACGACGTTTCGACCATAACACAAACGGTCGTCATCACCTGATGATGACCGTTTGTGTTATGGTCGAAACGTCGTGATAATTTTTATTGTTTTATATATATTTTATTATTTTATTGTTTCCCTTCAACGTGACTTTACCGAAAGAACTAAGAATAATAATCAAATAGTTATTAATGAAAATTAATCAAAATTAGTGTTGCTATAACAATTCTATTTAATTAAGTAGAACGTGTTGTTTATATTTATTTTAAGTTGCGCATTTGTACGTGACGTCACATTTCTTAAACCCAACCCCCCCCCCTCGTCACACATCGTCACAAATGTCTGACCCCCCACGACCCCCTAGATGCGTGACGTCATTTATGGACGGCCCCTTATGTCGTCTACACAACTGCACTATTTTTACTGCTGACAGCTACGAGTGCACAGTACTATTTGCCACCACCACCACCACCAAACTCTTTCACAATCATCATATGGCTCCAGCAACAAACCCACGACCAACATTCACAATCCACTCCGTCCACACGGCACTGCTTAAATCGGTTCTCATACACTCGTATCAACATACCACGCGTTGCATTGCATCAGTTATCATACATCACACACACACAATGAAGTAAACCCACTTACCACGTCTCCCCCCTACTGGCTCTTTTCGTGCCAGCTGGCCTAGCTAGGCAAGGCAGCCAGAAACTGGCCCAGGCGCAGGAAACGCTCCAACAAACACACCGGCTACCACACACACAGACACCGGCTCCCACACACACACACACCGGCTCCCACACACACACCGGCTACCACACACACACACACCGGCTCCCACACACACACAGACACCGGCTCCCACACACACACAGACAACGGCTACCACACACACACACCGGCTACCACACACACAGACAGGGGCTCCCACACACAGACACGGCGGCTCACACACACAGACACCAGATCCCACACACACACAGCGGCTTCCACACACAAACACAGACACCAGATCCCACACACACAGCGGCTTACACACACACAGCGGCTTCCACACACACAGACACGGCGGCTCCCACACACAAACAGCGGTCTCTCACACACGCCAGCTCCAACACACACAGACACTGATTCCCACACACAGAGCGCAGCAGGCCCCCTCCACTGCACGCGGGCACGTGGACACGTGGCGTGAGCGGCTGTCCCTCCGCGTGTTGCTCCGGGTCAGCCAACAGTGGGCGGAGGAGCTGTCACCCACGTGGGTCTGGCTGGGTGAGTGTTGTGTGAGTGGGATGTTGGGGGTGGGTGTTAGGGTGTGCATGTCAGTGGTTTTAATAACCTTTGCTGTAGCCTTGCAAACACCTTTGCTTCTCAATCGTAAAAAAAAAAGATTAATGTGAATAAATGCATAGGGTTTGGTGAAACAAAGTAAGAGGCCGTCCATAAATGACGTCACGCGATTTTTGACGATTTTTGACCCCCCCCCCCCCTCGTCACACGGCGTCACAAAAAGTCAGACCCCCCTCAAATATGACGTCTCTCTGCCCCCCCCCACACAACCATATTTACATATTTAAAATAAAACATGCTTCAAATAACTTTAAACTATTGTCATTGCAGTGCGTATTTAATGTGGCGCTGCACTCTGATGTTGTAGGCGAAAACATTTATTAAAACTTCTATTTAATTAAGTTGAACGTGTTGTCTATATTTATTGAAAGTTGCGCATTTTGATGTGACGTCACATTTCTCAACCCTCCCCCTCGTCACACATCGTCACAAATGTCTGACCCCCGCCCCCTAGGTGCGTGACGTCATTTATGGACAGCCCTTTACGTGCCCGTGATTGATTTGTGTTTCGATTATTTACATTCTAAAAACATCTGGCCATGTCTCGCACTCCTAGAAAGGGCATCCTGCACCCCAGGTTAAGGACCACTGGTTCACGTATTATGGACGATTCACGCTCACGGCCAACACCAGTGATAATTAATCGAACCGGTGCTGGGCCTCACATAGGTCGGCTCAGTCTCAAATGAGTACCTGGTACGGTGTGTAAAAAAAAAACAAATCATTGCCACTGGAGAGACAAAGGTGGCCGGTGGTGGTTGCTGGCCACCCACCCCCTCGTGTACCGTTCCGGCCTTCATCGGTGCTCGCTAACAGCACTTGCCCCTACAGTCTAAAGACGGTCTTTGTGCATGGCATAGCGGGGGTGTGCGTTCTGGGTGAGGTTTGTATTGTGAGTGGGTGTGTATATTGTGGCTGGGTGTCCAGGAGCGTATGTATCTGTGCATGATGTAGAGGGTGTGTGTGTATTTTGTAGCTGATGTGTTCAGAGGGCTATATATGCGTTTTGCAAGTGGTGGGTGAAGTGGCTGTGTGGGCGGTGCACGTCGTGAATGCAATGGGCTGGTGGTGTTGCTGCTGCAGTGTTCGTGGCTGGCATGGGTGTTGGGGGGGGAGTGTCCGTGGGTCTCCAATGAGCTGCCTGGAATGAGGGCACCTCCTCTTTGTGTGGATGATGACACTGAGGCTCTTTTTTTTTTGGTGAAGCCAATCGATGGTCGAGTGCAAGCAAATGCTTTATAAAAATAAGAATAGGTTTTACCGTTTCTGGCAATAAAAACAGGAGGTATTAAGATGTTCAGATACAAAATAAGATACCTTTTGCAAAGAATAAAGTCTGCATGAATCACACGTACTTGTGGTGAAGATTTCAGTTTCAGTTTACGTTAATTTGGTATAGCCCTGTGAGCCATTCGGCTCTTGAATCGGGTGCAACCACAACAAACAAAAAACATGAACAATAAAACATCTTATTCTTGGTTCTTTCGGTAAAGTCACGTAGAAGGGAAACAATAAAATAATAAAAATCTAAAATCTTATAAAAAATATATAGGATGGTGACTTCACCACGCAGCGGCGCTCCAATCAACCTGAGCGTCATGACGTCGCCCACGCAGCGTCACTACGCAGCGGCGCATCAATCAACCTGAGCGTGGTGACGTCACTACGCAGCGTTGCATCAATCAACCTGAGCGTGGTGATGTCACCACGCGGCGGCGCATCAATCAACCTGAGCGTGGTGACGTCACCACGCAACGGCACATCAATCAACCTGAGCGTCATGACGTCCCCCACGCAGCGTCACTACACAGCAGCGCATCAATCAACCTGAGCGTGGTGACGTCACCACGCAGCGGCGCATCAATCAACCTGAGCGTGGTGACGTCACTACGCAGCGGCGCATCAATCAACCTGAGCGTGGTGACGTCATTACGCAGCGGCGCATCAATCAACCTGAGCGTGGTGACGTCACCATGCAGCGGCGCATCAATCAACCTGAGCGGGGTGACGTCACTACGCAGCGACGCATCAATCAACCTGTGCGTGGTGACGTCACTACGCAGCGGCGCATCAATCAACCTGAGCGTGGTGGCGTCACCACGCAGCGGCGCATCAATCAACCTGAGCGTGGTGACGTCACTCACGCAGCGACACTACACAGCGGCGCATCAATCAACCTGAGCGTGGTGACGTCACCACGCAGCGGCGCATCAATCAACCTGAGCGTGGTGACGTCACTACGCAGCGGCGCATCAATCAAGCTGAGCGTCATGACGTCCCCCACGCAGCGTCACTACACAGCGGCGCATCAATCAACCCGAGCGTGGTGACGTCACTACGCAGCGGCGCATCAATCAACCTGAGCGTGGTGACGTCACCACGCAGCGGCGCATCAATCAACCTGAGCGGGGTGACGTCACTACGCAGCGGCGCATCAATCAACCTGAGCGTGGTGACGTCACTACGCAGCGGCGCATCAATCAACCTGAGCGTGGTGACGTCACCACGCAGCGGCGCATCAATCAACCTGAGCGGGGTGACGTCACTACGCAGCGACGCATCAATCAACCTGAGCGTGGTGACGTCACTACGCAGCGGCGCATCAATCAACCTGAGCGTGGTGACGTCACCACGCAGCGGCGCATCAATCAACCTGAGCGGGGTGACGTCACTACGCAGCGACGCATCAATCAACCTGAGCGTGGTGACGTCACTACGCAGCGGCGCATCAATCAACCTGAGCGTGGTGGCGTCACCACGCAGCGGCGCATCAATCAACCTGAGCGTGGTGACGTCACTCACGCAGCGACACTACACAGCGGCGCATCAATCAACCTGAGCGTGGTGACGTCACCACGCAGCGGCGCATCAATCAACCTGAGCGTGGTGACGTCACTACGCAGCGGCGAATCAATCAACTTGAGCGTGGTGACGTCACCACGCAGCGGCGCATCAATCAAGCTGAGCGTCATGACGTCCCCCACGCAGCGTCACTACACAGCGGCGCATCAATCAACCCGAGCGTGGTGACGTCACTACGCAGCGGCGCATCAATCAACCTGAGCGTGGCGACGTCACTACGCAGCGGCGCCATCATTCAACCTGAGCGTGGTGATGTCACTACGCAGCGGCGCATCAATCAACCTGAGCGTGGCGACGTCACTACGCAGCGGGCATCAATCAACCCGAGCGTGGTGACGTCACCACGCGGCAGCGCATCAATCAACCTGAGCGTGGTGACGTCACTACGCAGCGGCGCATCGATCAACCTGCGCGTGGTGACGTCACTACGCAGCGACGCATCAATCAAACTGAGCGTGGTGACGTCACCACGCAGCGGCGCATCAATCCACCTGAGCGTCATGACGTCCCCCACGCAGCGTCACTACACAGCGGCGCATCAATAAACCTAAGCGCGGTGACGTCACCACGCAGCGGCGCATCAATCAACCTGAGCGTGGTGACGTCACTACGCAGCGGCGCATCAATCAACCTGAGCGTGGTGACGTCACAACGCAGCGGCGCATCAATCAAACTGAGCGTGGTGACGTCACTACGCAGCGGCGCATCAATCAACCTGAGCGTGGTGACGTCAATACGCAGCGGCGCACCAATCAACCTGAGCGTGGTGACGTCACCATGCAGCGGCGCATCAATCAACCTGAGCGTCATTACGTCCCCCACGCAGCGTCACTACACAGCGGCGCATCAATCAACCCGAGCGTGGTGACGTCACTACGCAGCGACGCATCAATCAACCTGAGCGTGGTGACGTCACCACGCAGCGGCGCATCAATCAAGCTGAGCGTCATGACGTCCCCCACGTAGCGTCATACGCAGCGGCGCATCAATCAACCCGAGCGTGGTGACGTCACCACGCAGCGGCGCATCAATCAACCTGAGCGTGGTGACGTCACTACGCAGCGGCGCATCAATAAACCTGAGCGTGGTGACGTCACTACGCAGCGGCGCATCGATCAACCTGCGCGTGGTGACGTCACTACGCAGCGGCGAATCAATCAACCTGAGCGTCATGACGTCCCCCACGCAGCGTCACTACACAGCGGCGCATCAATCAACCTAAGCGTGGTGACGTCACCACGCAGCGGCGCATCAATCAACCTGAGCGTGGTGACGTCACTACGCAGCGGCGCATCAATCAACCTGAGCGTGGTGACGTCACTACGCAGCGGTGCATCAATCAACCTGAGCGTGGTGACGTCACTACGCAGCGGCGCATCAATCAACCTGCGCGTGGTGACGTCACTACGCAGCGGCGCATCAATCAACCTGAGCATCATGACGTCCCCCACGTAGCGTCACCACGCAGCGGCGCATCAATCAACCTGAGCGTGGTGACGTCACTACGCAGCGGCGCATCAATCAACCTGAGCGTGGTGACGTCACCACGCAGCGGCGCATCAATCCACCTGAGCGTCATGACGTCCCCCACGCAGCGTCACTACACAGCGGCGCATCAATC